CACTAAGGCCTAGTTCTCTTGCAGTCGGCATTTACAAAACCCAGTCAATGATACTGTTCGCACGTGACACAACTCGACGGCTGGACAGAGGAAAAATGGAGCCAAAGATTGCTCCTGACCATTGGGTCACTGACTGTTGGCTAGCTAATCATGTCTTGTGCCTAACTAACTAATTTTACTGACTCATCAAGTCCATGTAAGTTAGATATTCACTAGCTCGTTGTTGGACTGCAATGCTTCGATGCCTGCTTAGTCGGCATACCAGGGTTCGTATCCTGCGTATCTGTTGATAATCAACCAACTTGCTTTCATGAGTTCGTGGACGATCCATGGACTCACTTGAACCGATAGATTCGCTGTCATTCATCAACCCGTTTCTTGCCGTAGTGTAAACTTTCCAGATCGAATTCAAGCCAACTTGGAGGCTTTCTTCATCCGTCTCGTTTGCTAAAGCAGACAACAATGGCTCCACACAGCAGCTAGCACATTCGCCCATCAAGTACAAGCAAAGTCTACAGTATACGATGTGGATACAGAGGCCGGGCGGAGATAGCAGAAGTAAGGACACAGAGGAGGAGGGGGAGGAAGAGGGGGGGAGGAAGAGGGGGGGCGGTATCGTACTTGTCTGGTTGTGGGGTATAATTAAGAAGACGTTGGTGGATCTGTGGGTTTCCTTTGAGGAGAGGGGTCAGTGATTTCCAAGTATTGGGGTAAATGTTGGCTAGGTCTCGAGCTGTGATGGCTAGGAAGTCGGGGTCTGGGGAGTCTGCGGCGTGTTGGAGGAGTTGACAGGCGAGATCTACCAGTTGTAAGGCGACGGCTTTGGAGCTGGTCTTGGTGCACAGGAGGAGTTTAGTGACGACTCGATCGGTCGCCCAAGAGGTTTCGAGCAAGTCGCCGGCCGCGGTACGCCTCGTGCGGCTGAATGCATACTGCACGAGGACTTCGGCCAGCCCTACCAGCATGGAACCGGTGAAGACATCAAGTTTGCCCAGCAACGCGTCCACCAATTCGTGTTCGAACTCCGCCGCAGTGAATGAACTCTGCAGCAACGCATGTTCAACCATATCCAAAGCGTTCCGTCGCGCCTGGATTGTATGCCCACTCAGCTGCCTCAGCATCTCACCCAACACCCGTCCCTCCACCTCCCGCCGGCCCTCTCCTCCACGTTCCGGTCGTCCCGATTCCTGTCGTCCCGGGTCCTGTGGTCTGTGCTGGTTTTCACGATTAAGGTCAGGCTCGCCAGCCGGCTGACCACCGAGGTCGCCATCGCCCTCGTCCCGGAGGGGACAGAAGGCAGCAAGGTACAGTCGGGTCGCTTCGGTGGTTAGCATGGCGACCACGTTTTCACGATGGCGTTGCGAATTACCGCCGCCTGAGGTGAGTGAGGCAAGGAGGCTCTCGGGTGGTTCGTCCGCCAGCCGCAGCAGCGCTACGATCAAGACCAACAGCAACGTGCCTAGGTCCTCCCGTTCCACGTCAGGGTCACTCGACAAAATCCGTCGTCGTCTAAACAGGCTCCGGGAATCCTTTTGATCGAAGCGGAGGAGCGTTTCGCCGACCTTTTCCAACTGGAAATTTCTTGGAAACTTGACACCCCTACTACCTTCACCGCTGCGCATGGCACTGACGAACTGACGCAGCAGCTTGAGCGCGAAGTAGATGAACCATGGGTCAGGTGTGTCGAAGTAGGGGTTCTGTTTAGAGTTGATGGCGAGGAAGACTCGTCGCACCAAACTCCGTGCTTCCTTCTCACCCAGTGCAGAACGGACCGTGACCTCACTGGGCCCGCCTGGATTCGAACCGCCCCCATTTGAACTGCCTGGATTCGAACTGTTTGGGCTCAGCAAACACTGGCACAGTGTGCTGCAGGTCGTGGTGTCCCAGGTGTCACAGAAGATGCCACGGCCCACGCGCAGCCACTCATCCAACTTGCCCAACCGACTCAAGTACACCACCCACCGGTTATGGATGTCCACCGATTGTAGACGCCGTTCATCCAGCTGGTAGCCGACTTCCAGCAACGCGCCGCTCTTGCACCGGATCAATGACATCAGATTCAACAACACTATCTTTTCACACTTGGTCACGGACCGCGCATATAAATCGTTCAGCAATAAGTGAATAGCAAACAGGCTACGCCTGTGCCAGTGGCACACAGTAATCAATTCCAAATCTAATCAGGCGCACTCGGAACGTGGGGAATCGAAATGGGAACAGGGGGGTGACACGACATGGGACAATGACCACAGGGAGGGAACTGGCCACAGGGAGGGAACTGGCCACAGGGAGGGAACTGGCCACAGGGAGGGAATTGGCCACAGGGAGACCTACAATTCAGTCTTAT